CCTGGACATCGTTTCTTGCTCGACCCTTTGGATTACCACGTCTTCTGCCTTTGGTTCTGACCTTCGCCTGCACAACTACGCCTCCTTGTCTTCTCCTCCGGTACCTCCTGTCATCTGATCTCTGGTTTTGGACCCAGGCTTGTTTGACTATGTCTCTGCGCTCAACGGACTCACCACTCACCACTCACCTGTCGCTGCGGCCGGCTGCAGCCCCTCACCGGACTCAGCTTCTCCAGCAGCGATCCGGATCAGTTTGGACATCGTCAGTCTCCAGAACCCCCAAGATCATCTGAGACGGTTAGTGGTTCTCCACATTCTGACTTTTTGCTCTTCACTATCTCCTCCACGACCATTAACTGATCTCTGCCTCATAGACTTGTTCCTGATCTGGAACCAGAACCCGAACCAGAACCAATAATAGAACCGGTCCAATTTGCCACACTTCATCTTGAAAATAAATATTTAATTTTGACCTTGTGTGGTGATTTTGGTCCAACTGTAAGGGGGTTCGTTACACTTTCATTTGCTACGGTGAAGCACGGTGGTGGCAGCATCATGCTGAGGGGGCTTTTCATCAGTTGGGACTGGGAAACTGCTCAGAGTTGAAGGATAAACAGTGCAACATAAAGACAGGTTCTAAATGTAAAAAGTTCCAGCAGAACAACAACCCTCAACACAGGGCTGGGGTTTCAGAACGTCCTGGACCGGTCCAGTCAAAGTTCAGATCTCCTGACCTGGTCCAGTCAAAGGTCAGATCTCATGGACTGGTTCAGTCCAAGTCCAGGTCTCAGTGAGAAGCTCTGGTTTGATGTAAAGATTGTAACATGAAGGAACTGGAGATGTTAGGTCATGGACACAAACCTCTGGAGGTACTAGCTGCACAAAGTATTTCCTTTGTATTGAGGAGGTAAATACATACAACATGCATGCTCCATTTTCACTGTATAGAGTCCAAACCAGGGGTGCAAAGACTTTTTCATCCTGCAGCTCCTTTTAAAATGACCAAGTCAAAGTGATCTACAAAGTACCTGCTATAAGGCCCAGTTTACACGAGAACAACCTCTGGAAACATTAGTGTTTTTTCAAAGTTTATTGGGGGTAATAAACAAAAAACGAGCAGTTTACACAAAAACGCTGTAGTTTTCATGACAGTAGAGTTGCCAGATAAGAAACAATGCTGTGGCTTTAAAATGATAGTATTTTGACCTAAACTGTCATATGTGCTGAGCAAAGATATTCTAAGATGAGGTGTGTGCTGTGTTTGTTGAACATGAGCAGAGAAAAGGAGGGGGTAAATAAGACATTTTAAATTTATCTGGCAACCCTGATGCAGGGCTGAGTTGCATGCAGTGTCTGCATGACAGGCAAGGCTCCTAAAGACTCAGGCGTACTTCACTCCGCAGAGGTCCGCGCATACCAGATTAGACTCGAAGTGGACTCCCGCAAGTCATGTCTGAGCAAAGATCAATTTTTACAACTGCGCACTCGGTGTCGTACAATAAACTGTACAGCGACAGACTGTTTTGTATGTGACACTAATGTATTAAATTCCCATTCTTCATCCCTGATCTGATTTAATGGTCTTTTGTTTTGTTTTTGTTTTTTTTTCCAAAAGGTAAGCTATCTCTTCCTCCTCCGTTGACTCCATAACTGAAATTGTGAGAAATGAAGGAATTTGTCACAAGCTAATTAAAATCAGGCCTAGCGTGGCTGCGGCAGGGTCTGGAGATTTCCTGATGGGCTGATCTGATGTGTGGGCTGCAGGGTCAACGCTCCCGTTTTTTTTTTTTTTTAGAACTTTTTATTAACAACATATAAACACAGAGCACTGCTGCCGCTTGCTGCCAGCTCTCGTTTTTCTTTGCGACCTGTCACTCAATCAAGTAGGCGTGTCAGCAAATGACCAATCTGCGACCTCAATTTATCGCAAAGGTAAACGCCCCTTGCCTGCAGAGCTGGTCTGCAGCCGATCAGGGTGTACACTCGAGCATGAAGTCTCAACCGTCTTCGGACAGAGCGAGCAGTGTACGTGCGGCTGACAGTGCATCAAGTCTGTGAGAGGATTCAGACCAAACTGGTGAAGACACTAACGTCTCTTTGGAGCCTGGATTTTATTAGTTTTGCTCCTACATGCTGAAAAAGGGTGAGTAGCACAAAAAACCTGCTCTCTGCCATTTATCATAACTGTTGTTAGAGCAGAAAAACTTTGGACTGCAGCCACCTGTAGTGAGCATGTACCATTTCACACTTGGGGCATTTCACACCTCTGAGAGGTGTTCCCCTGAAAATCTCCACTCCGAGACCTGGATTCAGAAACCTTCAGTTTCAGAGAATGAGGACTGTTGTCTGTAAATGAACAGTCGAACGTTTCATGTTGTGTAAACGGGGCCTCAGACTGGCTGCCCTGTCTGTCAATCAAGTGAAAAAATTTCATAAATGGAAGAGAGGCTGATGTCTAGTTTTTAATTTAGTTCAGTTTATTTCTATAGCTCCAAATCAAAACAGAAGTCATCTCAGGGCACTGAACAGAAACATTCATATATATATAATAATAATAATAATAATAATAATAATAATGTCATCACATTGTCATCATTGTATGTTTCCATACAATGGCAAAATTAATCTCTGCATTTAACCCATCCACCACCAGGTGGTATAGTGGGCAGCTATTGAAAGTGACCAGGAGGCATTTTGAAGATAAGGTGTGTTGCCCAGAGACACTACAAGGTATACAGTGACCGAGGATCAAACTGGGACTTTCGGGTCCCGAGCCAGCTGCCCTTCCTCTACACCATCTCGGCCATCGAAAAAAGTAAAAAGTATTTCGCTTACCCGAGTGAGGTAGACACAGGACACATGCCACGCCCTCACTGCAGCCTTCTCCTCCAAGGGGTCTGAAACTAATCCTGAGGCTCAGGTATTACCCGTAGCTGTTTTCCAAGACAGCTTAGTCTAAGGCTGTGTTGAGGTGATTCACCCAGACTGTTAACTACCTTCTATCCGTGCACCACACCCAGAATTTCACCTCGTGTCTCGCCCGACCTAGCAGCAGGAGTGGGGACGTTGGACAGACGAGGAAGCGCACGTTCACGGTAGCTCAACTCCTAATTTAACGTTGCAATTGTTATCCGATCTGGCTTTGTTTAGAATCTAGGTATAAGATTCTTGGATGTTGTTTTATAATCAAAGCTACGAAACCTTTAAAAACCTCCTAAACTTTTTGTTGTTAACATTGAACCAAGTTTTCCATTTCCATGAACAAAGGGGTGTTAAAATAAGAATCCAGAATAATCAAGGATTTGCTGGGGTAACAGCGGTAAGCACAATCCAACACAGTGATTACATTTGATTACAGAGGTGATACATGGTGATTAATAAGTAGCTCAGAGATTTAGTTGGACTCCAGGGGTTGAACAGTCAGCTTGGCAAAGTGGCGCTCGGATCCAAAAGAGAGCTGGGGAGGCCTGACCATGTCCTAGGAGCCCCTAGGGTAGTTCTGACACACTTAAACACTCCAAAACATCCACAGTCTCCCCACACTCACAACCTGACCCAATATGTTATCTCTCACCACATCAACCAACCTTTGACAACCCCAAGCAATCGAATCTAAAATATAATTGATCTTTCTGCCTGCAATTTTGTAAGCTACCGCTCTGAACTGAGATAAAAATTGATAAAGGACAATATCTTTGAGACGTCTTCTTACCATAGATTTCTAGTAGAATTCCTGAAAATTCCAGCTCAGTAAGAAGTAGATTACCTCACCCACTCTTGAATGAGGCCGTCCCTGGTCCCACAGCTGTTCAGAATTTGAAGAAAAGGGTTCGGGTAATGATCCGGGCTGAGGAGGAAAATAACTCCAAATGAAGCCTTCCCTTCGGATATGCCTTAGTTCTTCCTCAGCTGGAACCGTCCAAGACTTGTCTTGTGCATCCACACGCTCCGGTAGTCCATCAGCCCCAGTGTCACAGAGTCATCTATATTTATAGAGCGAGTGCTGGGTAACACCCCCGAAAGATCATGCCACCTGTTCAATCCCACCTTTTGGGTTGGATCTGGCATAGGATCTTTATGCATGTCTATGCGAGATGGTTACATCACTCTCATACATATTAAAATCTGGGTGTAACTTTATTCTGTCCGGTTTTAGTCTGGACTTGTCTGCTTCAACTTTTGAGTTGTTTTTCTCTTATTTTCCCTTATAAGGGTCTACGTTTGCTTGGAGCTGCTTTAGGTTTGTTATTGTGAAACTCTCTTTCTTGCATAACTCATCCTTGTACATTATTTCTGTAAAACACTTTTGAGAAGACAGTTCACTTTCATCTTAAATTCTCAACATCATGAAATGAACAAAATACATTTTTAAAATCACAAAAGATTATAGTATCAACTTGATTATTTACTTGATTTATAAATAAACAATTCATGTTTCTATATTTCTTTAAAAAAAACAACAGTTTCATTAGGAGGGAATGTTCCCCATCTGTCACTTTTCCTCTCTCCTTCTTTCTGCCTGCGTGTGTGTGTTTTCAGCATCTGCTTTTCATTAACTTAGCCTGGAAACTTCGGTACTTCCCACTGCAGGCCTGAAACAAGAGCATGTCTGGACATGTCTGACTTTCACTAAAGCGAGCCTTATTGACAAAAGTAAGTTAATAACATTATTTATTTATTATTTATCTTTATTATTTTTTAATGCCATGCCATCTACCCAGAATACCTTTGAGATCGACTGATAGATGGCTATCGCCATGTTGGGCACCCGTGGGCTAAATGATGTGAACACGAGCCGTGTTCAGCTGGAAATAGACTGGTGGATTTACAAGCAGCACACTCATTTCTTCTCCACGCCTGCAAACATCTAAACATTTTTCCCTCCTCTCAGCAGCAGTTGAAGGTGAGCCCACAGCCACGATGAAGGCTCCATGACTAATAACTTGTGTCATCTTCAGAAGAAACATTTATAACAAAACAACTAAAAACATTTTAGTTACCTTCCCCCGTGTTGTAACCAGTCAGCGTGGTCTGAATTTGGCCCCCGTTGCCCCGTGTGTCAGGGGTCCCCTGAGGCCCCTGGTGGCAGTCTTCACCTGAGTAACCATGGCAACACTTCCACTCCATCTCCGTCACCATCTTGTAGGCCACCTTATACCTCGGCCTCCTGTACGTTCGGTAACTGACAGGAGAGACACAGATGTCTTGTCATCGTTTCACTCAAACAAACAAACTTTGTTTTCACTTTGTAGTTTAGTCTAATTCAAGATGGCTGACTAACCTGAGCCAACACAAACGGTGATAATGTTCTAATTTTTAGAAATTAAGTTGTATTTTGGTGTGTCTAGGCCTTCGGTCAACTGCCGACCTGTTTAACTTTCAATTTTTTTTTTCCTGTTAACATACAAAAAAGCACTCCGGAAAGCTATAATTTTACATTATTCAATATAATTGATGAAAATAAAAATAACCCCAGGTTCCTTTTCAGTACCATAGCTAGTCTAATGAAAAATCCTATCTCTGTTGTTTCATGTATCCCTACAACTATAAGCAGTGATGACTTCATGAGATTATTTATCAATAAAATTGTTTCAATTAGGGAAAAAAATTCAAACCAACATTCCTAGTGTCACCTCTGGTTCTGTGTCTGATGAGACATTTAAAAATGTCTCTAGAACCTGACTTATGTTTGGACTGTTTTTGTCCTGTTGAGCTCTCTGAATTGTCAAAAATAATAACCTCATCCAAACCATCCACGTCTGCTAGATCACATCCCAACCAGACATTTTAAGGACGTATTTCCCTTATTTAATAACCACGACTTGGATCTGCTTAATTTGTCTCTAATAAACAGTTACATACCACAGAACTTCAAGATTGCTGTAATTAAACCTTTCCTTAAGAAACATAACCTTGACTCAGGAATCCTAGCCAGTTATAGACCTATATCTAATCTAACGTTCATCTCAAAAATTCTCGAGAAAATTGTTGTAGGTCAGTTACGTGACCATCTACAAAGTACAAAGATATAATCTAAAGAGTTTCAGTCAGGCTTTAGAGCTCACCACAGCACTGAATCTGCACTGGTGAAAGTTACTAATGATATTTTCATGGCCTCTGATAATGGACAAGTGTCTACACACTGCAAATATAGTCCATCTAACCTAGTCTTACATTCTTATATCCAGTCAAAAAGGATTTTTTGATCTTGTTTTGAGACTTATATGCTAAACAAGAGCAGAAAGTGTTAGATTATTACTCTTGTTTTGAGAATATACATCTTTTATTTCTTACTTAGTTACCAAATCCTAAAAATAGTTACTTTACATGCATATTAAGCAAAATTGTATCACAGAGACATGTGTGAGATCATACTGTATGTTTAAAAACAATTTTTAGCTGTAAAAACTTGTTTCAAGACCACCCAGTAACAATTGCTCAACACATTTATTTCCGATCTTTACAAAGCTGCAGGGTAGCATTACTTTTTTACAACATATACAATATACATATACAATAACAAATCACATGTATGATATTATGAACATACATCTTCCACTGTTTCAAGGTTATTCATTTTAATTTTTAAGTGCAATGACATCATCAAGGTTATATTTTGTCAAAACATACACACTGCTATTGAAACTGACTGGATAATATGATGTATGATCAACTAGCTTTAAAGCATCTATACATTCAGTGGCCTGGGCAAGATTAGGCACTGTAACTTCATAAGCTAAAAGATCTTTATTCCAACCCACAGTTTCATAAAGCTGGTATTCAAAACAGTATAATGAACTGTTTATCACAAAAATGTTCTTTATAAGTCCAAAAACAGGAACTGTACCATTTGCATTGGTGATTATTAGAGACCTTTCACTTTTATATTTGTTCCCATTAAGAATAAGCCACTTTACTTTGACTTTGACTCCATGTTGCATGCCAAAAAATCCCCAAAAAATCTCTCATCTTCTCGGAAATGTACTCCATATTTGTTACTTCAGAGACAGGACCCAATTCTTTTCCATGTGCAAAAATTGGATGATGAGTACCCATTTCATTTTGACAGCATTCAAAAAGCACATTATGGTTCACAAGTGACTTACAGACATTTTTGAAGTTCAGTTTAGATGACCACTGTTTAAAAAAACAGTGCTTAGATTCAAACCGCATGCACATGTGCCTTACTAAAGGCCCCAAATGAAGAATTTGAGCAGGGATATGCAGCATGTAATGTTGCTTAGGTATTACATTATTCTCATGAAAAAGTTGCTTAAACTTTTTCAAATGCTGTTCAATCATACTTTTCAGTTTTAACACACTCTGTACAGACAAAACAGGGGCAAAAAGTATCTGAACTATCTCAACTAAGTCCAAAACAAACTGAACATATTCATTTTTTCTATAGTATTGAGCAGAAAAGGAATGATCTTCAACAATATCAACATTTGCCCTGAAGACTGTTTAAGTTTATTGTCATTCGATGCAAGGGTACTGACACTAATGGGGCATGGCTTGTCACGTATGTCTATGGGTGACAAAGAAAAACTTTGCATGGCTGAATTGAACACATCTAACTCCATCTCCCCAGACAGAACAAGATATTTTAACACGCACTTAATTAAAACCATAAATTGAACTGTTTTGGCGGGCACGTCCGTGAAAGTGGGCAATACCAAGTCTTAAGGGGGTGGGTTATACCAACACTGTCGTTAACTTGCATAGTAATATCTTTAAAAAGGGGATTACAACAGGCATAATATTTAATGTAGAATTTATAGTTCTACTATTACATTATTATGCACATCATTTTCGCTTTTTATAAGCTTTAAACAGACTGCCATGTTCTGCACCTATTTCCCCCTCCTTGCCCTCATTTGGTTGCGTCTGTCGGAGTCCTGTATCGTTTGGCAGCAGAGAGAAGCAGCACGTGGACCGAACTCAGCTAAGGTAATGAGACATGTTTTTATTAAATCTAGATTTTTTTCCAGTTTTGATTTACTGCACTCATTACAGCCTGGTGACCATGGATGTTTGTTTTCATCAATTCTAATAGCGCACCATGAGTTGTTAGCTGACTTAAAACATGCTAGCTTGCTAGTTAGCTTGATGGTAATGAGGTTAAAAAATGACGATAGTTAGTCTAAATGGACAATTTTATATTTTCTGTTGATAAAACCATTAAAACATGAGAATTATTTCATTGAAATCCAGTTTAGTTTATGAAATTAAAGACAACAGGAAAAAATAAAACATCTGCAAAGTAATGGCATAATCTATATGTAAATGTGTTAATGACATCATAACTTATATATTTATTTTAAGAATAATTTAAATTTAATTATTTAATTAATTACTGTCTAACTGAATTGTTTGTTGTGCACACTGACACTGGTTTTAAATAATTAAACTATTTAATTTTTGTAAAGTCGATTTGTTTGCCCTGTCAAGTTGAATACTGTATACATTTAAAGGGACATATAACTTTATAATTCTGAAAGTTAACCATTTGTGTTTACAGCTGCCAACATAGATGAGGTCTTGCTCCAGACCCTCAGTCGTGATGATTTACGAGACCTTTTGCCAGAAAACTTTATAAGGAGGAAACTGTTGTGGGCTCATGTTCACAAAGAGGCACGTTTTTGCCACCTTTGATCTGAAAACACCTAGCACAACACATTTTGCTCGTAACTCCTGTAATAATAATTCTTTTCATTTTTTTTTCCTTAGGATGAAAATCCCACCTTATCAGATACAACTGGATCAAATGAAACAGGAACTGTTTCTTCACCTCAAGGAGCACCTCCCTCTACTGCAGGATAGTGGCCCTCAATTAAGGACCAGGAGTGTCCATCCCTGATATGCTGGATCTAGTTACTGATTGTGTTTTCCTTTTAGCCAACATGGATAGTATTGCATCACAGGCCAGGCATTACAAGACTCTGCAGGAGATGTATAAGAAGCCAAAGCCCAACCAAGATGCTGTCCGCCAAATCCTTGACCTTGAATTTCAATCAAGAAGCGCTTTCATCGACTGTGATGTTCTGAGAGAAGAAGATGGGGCAACAAAGATTCTTGAAGCATATCCATGTTTCAAAGAGATTCACAATGTAAGTGGTTTATTTTTTATTATGGCTTCTCAAAAAGAAAGCACTGCTGGAGGTGTTAAAGCTTTCTTGCACCATAGGTGATGGGTGAGCTGTGGCGGATCCTGGATAAGGGCAACCTCACATTCCTCACAGAATTGAAGAAGAGATGGGAACACTTTTGCTCTATGGTTCAGTTTTACGGTGTTTGGAAGAAGGTGTTGAAGCCACCCAAGAACCTGGATGGAGGTTAGTAATTGTGCTGTCTTTCATACACCATGTTGCTCAGACATGACACCACATGTCATATATATATATATATATATATATATATATATATA